AATAAATGTTGAGAATCACCCAGTGTACATCAATTGAAGTAATTCAGCTCAGAATAGCCCATTTCAAATCAGTTGTGGCAACCAGGGGGCTGTATTGTCAGCTTGGCCATCAGGTCTACTCTGGATCCAAACACTACTAATTTATGTCACTACGTAGTGACATAAATACTCACAACACCACAAATCATTAGAAGCCAACACTTGTCGAATCCCTAATAAAATAAACTCCACATCAAAGTGACAGTTTCTATTATTTTTTGCAGTTTATACATGTGTTTGGATTAGCTCTTTGTAACACCAAAAGCACCTTCCACAACTCTGCACGCATGCCGATGAACATCTGAGGTTCGTTCCGATCCTCAGGAGAAAATTAAGTTGTGAGGGTTCCTGTTCTGGCAGGAAGCTGTGGTTTTGCAGGGATGTTAGAACAGGTTTGCTATGGACATACCAAAGAGGGGGGGAAAAACCCTGAACCCAACAACTCTGATCTAAAATAAGAAAATCTGGACAGGTATTAAGGTATTACAATTAACAGTGGGAGAAAAATGAAAACACGTTGAAAGCACTCTTAACTTGGTCACTTCGTTCATTCAGTGTCGGTTTTGGCTCAGACTGTAAACCCTGCATTAATAAAGACGAGTAAAGTTCTAGCTTCGCATTAAGCATTTCAGCCTTTGAAATACAGATCTTCCAAAAGATAACTTTCAATTCTCCATGATATGACATGCAACCAAAATTAACTCTGTATATTTACACCCATCATTCAGCACGCTTTGAATTGAAACCTTTCAATAAATACAGGAAGAAGTAACACTGAATCTTTGCAGATGGGTTTTACAACTCTCTTTAGGCTCAGAAGTTACGATCATGGCCAGTTTTGGAAACAAAGTACCACATGTAGCTGGTGGGAAAAGCAGAGATAATTTAAGTGGTTGTCAATATGCTCATCTTTGAGTATTGCCAAGTTTTCAAAAGCCTAGTCCTTCCAAACGATACCGTTCCTACTTGCGTATGACGTGCCTGCATTCAAATTTTGTGCTGAAAGACATTTTGATCCACGTTTCAAACCACGGACTGCAAGCTGTATTAAATGTCATGTAGAGCTTGGTCAGTGCTTTCCTACACATTCTCCTTGGTGACAACTTTGAAAGAAGATTCAGAGCTCGGATTTTGGTCTCTGACACAAAAACCTAGTGTAAAAATCTCCCAAATTCAGAGGTCCTATGTGTTTAATGAAATATTCAGAGCAGGTATGAGGTCAAAACTTTTCCATAAAGAGCTTTTCTTTCAAAAAGGTTTCTTCTAAACAGAAACATAACTAAAGCAAAATGGATGACATTAGAGTTTCCTTTTCTAAGATTCATACCGGTTTTTCAACTTCATCCTAGTATTCATGTATGCAAGTATCATGCAATTTATATGTAGAATGCAGAAGTTAATATAATTCCAACTCATTCATTCCGTAGCCAAATCAGCGTGAATTAAACAGGCTAACGTGTGAAAGGCTACATAAAAGTTGCACCGTATAGAACCAAAGCAGATGTTTTAACTTACAGTTTTAATATAGCAATCAAAGAAAATTCCAAATACTGTACAGTGAAGTGTAGTATAGTACACTATATACTGTTATAATACACTATTGTTACAGTACAGATAAAAAAATCAAATATAATTAGTACAGCAATCACAAATAAACCAAACCAAACTGTGCTGGGTAGCAGCCAGTACTGTGAAGATGGTATAGTTTCTATGCTATTTTATTTTAAATTCAACATGTAAAGCACTTACTGTTTAAAAAGATTTGTTTTCTAAATATATACACTATTTTAATTCTTATTTATACATTTTAAATAGCATTCCCTCCTAAAAGTGCACTCTTTCATTTCTTGGCAATAATCCCCATTAAACACAGAATAATTCTGAAAATACCACTCTCTTTTCAACCTTTTATTGCTCAACCGCAGGCATAAGGGCTCAGAGGGAATCCCGCATCCTAAAGACCTTAAGCAACTTCTTCAGTTTTAAAAAGCTAAACTGATATCCACAAGCAAAACAAAGAAATCACTTACTGTTGCAGGGTGGGGTTTTTTTTTAACAGAAGGTTCGACTTCATATTATTATTATGTTACAAAAGCATGTAGATTCTGCTGTTGGAAAATGGGAGCCACACTGATGCAGAGAGAACGGTGGCGTCTTCTTAAATTGTTCGTTTCTCACACATTGCAGACCGAGTGTCGCTTTCCCAATTGTAAGCACACTCTGAATTTTATTCCCTGGCATTTTCAGTGCATTGAAAAAGTAGCAAGCAACTCTGCTAACCTCGTGACAGTGACAACAGAGTCTACTTTTTGAAAGATGGTAAATTAAGCATTTTGGTCTTAAAAGTACGCCTGTCGGACTGGGTAGTTAGCACACAGCCCCGTGGCACTGCGCCTGTGAGAGGCCGCTAGAGCATTCTGTCGGAGGCAATGCCTAGCTCGCACTTTGGATCCACCGGAAGACTAATAAAGTACACGGGATTCACAAAACCAACACTACATGTTGCTGGTTTGTGACTGTAACAACGAAGACATCCCAAATAAATTTCTATGACTGCATTTGAAAAGCTGCTCTTTATTTCTCCCTCGCTGAAATGCAAACAATTCACAGAAAAAGTCAACCATACTAAGCAGCCAGCCATTTGAAGTAGTAAAAATCTTGCATTTGCCTGAAAAACGGATCTGTTCTCCTGAGGTTTCCCATCGGCTCATCAGCCATCTACTTCTTTTTTTTTTTTTTTTTTTGGTGCTGGGCCTGTATTTTTCAGTAATCACCTCCCATATTAAGCCATAGTAAAGTTCAGGGTTTTCAAACAATTTCAGTGTTCTTTGCCGTGAGACACTGCATAGAAGGTGGTTGGCCCCTAGACAAGAAAGCAATCAAGGCAGGTACTCAAAACAGAATTTAAGAACCACGGCCTAAGTCCAGAGGCAATTCCGTAGCAAGAAGTTGGGGGGTTGCTGAGAAAGAGACACTCTTCACACCACTTGAGAAGTCCTGTTGACAGGGCTTTAGATCCACCACGAGTCAACATCTTCCCTGCCCTTGTACCCCACCACCGTTTCCCTGACTCAGGACACGGGGAAACCTAACATGCAGAGGGGTGCTCCTAAGGCAGGCACGAAGATTTGCCTCGACTTACGCTGGCATCCCCTGCGAGCAATCAAACAAAACATCTGCTCAAACTTACGCTTCGGTGTTCTTTATTTCACTTCTCCTGTACAGTTACATATCTCACCGGCATGTAGATGAAGTTTAGCTTCACCAGAGAGTATCGAAAGCTGTGTTTCTCAAAAGCACTGCTATTTAAATGCATGAGAAAGCTAGGTGAAATAAGAACGCTGCAAGGAAACAGGCACGATCCTGCCTTACACCAGAGCAATTCACACCAGCGTATCTTGTGATTTTGACACTGTTTTACCATTCCTTTTTGTTTCAGGAACTGGGGTGTTCTGATCTACATGACTTGCGTGGACCCAAGGTGAGTCAAACTCAGCTATTATTTGTGTCTGTTTCCATTTAGATAAGAAGAAAAATGTCAAATTACTGCTGAAATGGGAAGTGTGTCAAAATTAAACCAAGCCTTCCTCTTTACACAGTGAAAGGCACACAAACTTCTGTAGGCTTACCAGAAAGGTATGAAAGAAGTAAGCATTTTCCCTTGAAATAAGGATGATGTGCAATAAATATTCCCATTTATTTCAAACTTAAAATTCTCTCCTATAGACTGCTTGTATTTTTTTTGGCCAAGGAAGACTTCCTTTTTTCTAAAGAAAAGGTTAAAAATGATAGTTACCTTGTCTAAAATGCAAGAGACCCAGGCGATTCCTCCCCCCATCAGCCTTTCCTGACTTAAACACCTCCCCAGGAAGATGCCATCTCTATACTTTTCTAAACTTCACACAGTGACAAAGCACAAGCCTCCGCTCAACACTTTCTATATAGAAATAGCCTTCAGACAGCTAGACTGATTCATGGGAGACTGAATGTTTTCCGAAGTCGTGGCAGCCTTCCAGCTGCTGCATGTGCATCCTGTTTCTCACTGAATAAGCCCTGCCAGTTAATCAGTGCATCAGTGAGGTCAGTTCTGGTGAGCCAAATTACTTCATACGTTCCAAGCTTCCAAATCGCTAACTTACAGGTTAGCAAGTTGAAACCTTAAAACTTGTCATTTATTTGTGAAGAGGTGATTCTTGTTTTTAACCTCTGAGTACTAAATCATACAATATTTATTCCCTCTACATAAATTAAAATGCCTCTTGTTGGTTAACTTTTTACTTTGACAAACCGTGGCCACTTTAGGTGACTTGCTTTCAGTTAAGTTTTACACACCAAAATAAATCCTCTCTCATGGGACAATTTATCATACTAATGCTTAGAACTGTTTAAGTGATTAGAAATGTAAAAAGTGCGGAGACTTTTCTGAATACAAACACGTACAATACAAACATTTGTGAACTGATAAAAACCCACATGTGCACAAACACAGACTTCAATATTTAAATGCTCTTAATTCCTTTGAAGCTGCATTAACATCTCTCATCCATTCAATGTCATTTTACCATTAGAGGAAGCAACAATAGTGCACTTTAGTATGACTGTGAAAAGAGGAAGCCAGGTGCAGTATCAAATACACAAGTTCCATCCTCAGGGAGCAAGCACCAGGGCTGCTTCTTAAGAACTAGCACTGCAGGTCTGATGAACACTACTTAAGGGGACACCAGCTATATTATCATATTTGTGATGCAGGGAAATCTGCATCACAAACTGAAGTGAGGCTTATAAAGGTGGGCAGTCTTTGTAGATAACTGAAACAGCCTGTATTCCTTGTTTCCATGGAGTAAACAGTGAGCTTCCAAAAGCTCAATTATCACTGAACACTTTAGGATAATGAACGTTAGAGAGTCATTTCCTTCCAATAAATTGTTAATTTGCTCTGAAGAGGACAGCTGTTACTTAAATTTTGCCATTGCTAACCAATGCCAGTAATCAAAGTCTTTTTTAAAAGAAATGGATTTGCCATTGAACATTTGTTTTTTCTTGAAATTGCCAACTTTTTCTCTCCTGGAGCTGCATTAAAAGTTGCACAACATCTGACCAGCTCGGTATCTGGGAGGAAATAAAAACATGCTATCACTTACAGAGCACCAAAATGGTTGTGTTGGCTCAGACAGCCATGCATAACCACACCACATTCACTTTATCTTCATCATACACTAAGAAGCCTTTTTTCTAACTTGCTTAAACTGACAATACGCAGAAATGAGAGAGTTTACGAAAGTCACACTTATTCCAAGATTTCTGACAAGCGTATACAGCTGTGTGAGAACGCGAAAGTTTTTCAATCAGAGGGAGTGCCAGCACATTGTGATTAAGTACTGTATATGCTGCATTATCAATTTAGCAGCAGTTTAGTTTCAACTGCCTTTTGAAATTTATCTAAAATTCGTGTTTATAGTGTATTTTTCAGTGGAATTAAGTACCTGGGACAGGATTAACTTTGTCACGTTTCTAGTTTTGCCTGTTCTAGCCTTTCCAGTAGCCTTAAACTAGCGTGGTAAGAACCTTGCATGGGCTTCAATTTTAAGACTTTTAAGGATTTAAAAATTACAAAGAATTTTCAAGAACCCACATTTACAGCAGATATTCATCTCAGTGCATTTCCTAATAACTACTTTACAGGTAACAGAGCCAGCCTGGGCAGCAGTATGGTAATATTGAAAGCTATTGCCAATCACACACTTGCTTATCATGCACTGAATAAGATGATATAATCTTTGACATACATACAAGATTTAATAACTAATCACTTGGTGTGGCCCAGCCAATAAACATAACATTTGAACAGTAATTTCTTCTACCCTTATTAGATTTTAACCTATCAAGAGTGATCCATTGGCTCAGTTGCATTAGTGATTCCTGCATCTTGACTATCCATCTCCTCAAGCTCCTCAACAGAATTCCCCTTTTGTGCTTTAGACCTTGCAGGGAATGTTGTTCCCACAGAATTCACCATGTTACCATCGGTTGATTCGGTATTCAAGTGTTCGGTACCACCTGGTGCAGAAAATGATTCAGGTAAGCCAGCCTGAAAGCTCCCAGTTTTAGCAGTTGAACTCACTGCCTCTACTTTTCTTTGCGATAGATCAACTGAGGCTGACTGCTCTGTATTCTGATCCCACAAATGTCTATCTATTGAAGCATGAATAGAAGACACCACTTCCTGCAACTTTTTTCTCTGTGCCTCAATCAAAGTGGGGTCAAGCTGCTTGCTGTCTCCCATTGTCACGACTCCCGGAGCAATTCGGATAAGCTCACTGTTACCAGAAGCAGTTGTGAATACAGAAGGCTCAATTTTAACAGAAGGACTGAAGTCCGTTTCTGTGCTATGCTTTCTTAAGAGTGGTGTTTCCCTGGCTCTTTGATCGTGCTGTTGACTACTAGACGCAGTTCCTAGGGAATGGCCCTTTCCTTGAAACGCAGTTATGTTATGCAGCTGTTCCGATTTCTTCTTCACTACGCCGCCACTACCCAGCCTCAACATTCCGTGCGAAGGACTCCCTTCTCTGCTGCGTGAAGTAGCTTCTGCTCGAACTTGACTTAAGGCCTCTTTAACCAACTCTTCAACATCAGGACCGACAGGGAAGTGTCCAGCAGCATCCACACACAGCTCTAATCTGTCTTCTGCTGCGTTGTACACAAAGTTTTTACCAGGCAGATGTGGAAAAGTACAATGCTTGCCATCAGCCAAACCTAAAAAGAGATAAAAAGTTATTCAAAGTGCTAACAGGTTTTAAGGCTGCCCTGAATACACAGGAATCATTGTATTTAAACTTACTCCATCGAGTATGGAAAAAACAACACACTGAAACTTACTACTGCGGGAGAAAAACAATTTAGGTGTTTTTTGGACAGTGGTCAGTATACCCCTGGGATGCTGCTGCCTTCTAGGTTGATTCTAATGATGAGACAGGACTTTACTACTACTGGATAAAATAACCACCTTGCTGGGACTTGCAGTTCTCATACAACAGAACTTAAATACTATATGCTGGCAGTAACACGGATCAAGCCAAACCCCATCACCCCCACCGCAAAACCAACCAACTGGCAGAGAACTGCCAAAGAGCACCGTGTAGCTGGAGAAGCACCATCTAAGACCACTTCCACACTAGTCAGAATTGTAGTAGGATTTCAGTGTGTGTAACTGCTGCTAAGCCTGAGGAATTACAACTTTGCTATTTGTCTTCTCAGAGAGGAAGTGTTGCTAGATAAACAAAAGTGTTTCAAGCTTACTAAGTTTAATAGTTATAATCTCCAGGGTTACTAATCTTTATAAAACAAACATGAGGCATAACATTTTTGATCTGCTGTTTGTTTCATTATCCCACTTAAAATTTGACAGATCTGCTAAAATTGAGAGTTCACCAGGCAAATTTAAGTTCCAAAGCCGCTCCCTGTCAAAAACTGGCAACATTCGGTTTTCCAGTTTATCGTCATAAAATACAAAATAACTCTTCCAATTCTGTCACATACAAGTTTTGGTAAAAGCAGCAAAGTATTGTTTTAGTGAGACGGGCTTTCTGCGATTTAAAAGCTGTCTGCAGATGGAAGCTTGTCTGCAACAACTCTCCTCAGTTGTATCAGCTATGCAAGGAGAGCTACAATAAAAAAAAAAAAAAAACCCACCACACTTTTTAAAGAGTGGCAGGAATAGGTAAATTAATGGAATTTTTCCTCCCATTCTCTTGCAATTCTTGAAGAAAACCACCAGAAATTATGCCAAAGGGAAGATAGGCAAGCAAATCCTATTTCTATGTTACCAAATACAACGCAGTCAAAACAAGTACTCTGGGCATCAATAAAAAAGGTCACTCAGATTATCTGAAATGTTATTAAACTGTCTTTATACTGATGAACCAACTGAGCAGTCTCGCTCATCCCCCACAGCTTCTGATGCACACACTTCTACAGTTGCAGAGAAATCTGCAGATGAGATTCTATTTTGAGAACTTCAGACATGTAGCTCCCTTCTTTACATATCCATGGGAACCAATAACCGACCAGCCAAAACACACACAGAATAAAATTTAACCCCAAACACCGATCCATCTAACTCAGCCTGAAAAACGTATTTTAACTACATAATTTACCAGCTCAACCTTAATTTGTAAGAGAGCTGTAACAGACCAAACGGACAGACCATAACTGCCTCTGAAATTGCAATCCTGCAATCTGAATGAGATCTCAAACAAGATCTACGAGATTCAATTTCAACTGATTAACAATACCTACAGTAGTCAGAAAACTGTTCCTAATGTCCAGTTTAACAGTTACATTATTCCATTAACTAAAATATTACAAATAGGTAAGGAGCTTAAGTGGAAAAAAAGCCCAAACCATCGTTGCACACTGTAATTGTTTAACCTGGAAACGTAGCAGTTCATAACACATTAAAATCATACAAGTGCGTTGATGCTGCAATAGTAATGCCACAGTAAAAATGTCTTTTAGGTCAGGCGTTTTCTGTGTGTTAATGACCAGCTGGGTTAATATTCCTTTGGGATCCATTTCAGGTTCTCACCTCTGGCTAGTCATTAATTGGTCCAAAATGCCCTTTCCATCAGGGACCGTTCAAGCTAATTCACTTGCCAAAAACAACACACCAGTCTTTACTGTACAAGCATAGTAGGAGAAAGAAAAGTAAAAGGAAACAGATCTGCTATTAAGACACTTGCACACCAATTCTACTACCCAGGCTAATAATTCAGTGAGAGATAGTGGGCGTTGAATAGACCACGTTTTAATTACTGCAAACAGAACAGAAATTAGGTGGTAAAATACCTGTTTCCAGAAATAAAGAAGATTAAGTTAAGGTTGCTAAAACTTCCTGAGAAGAAATCAAACAGGAAGAAAGCAGCAAAGGAATCATTATTATAGAGGGAAGCACAAGAGCTAAACTACGAAAGCGAAGACTTCAATAAGAAAATAAACTTTAAATGGGAAATAACTGAACAGTACTTGCTTCTTTGTAGGTAGTATTCGTAAAGCCATCTACAGATCAAATATACTCTAGCTACCTGCTTGGGTATTCTGCACATAGTCCAAGACGCAATGTGGCTAAACAGGGATGCACAGCTTTGCTTCCAAACACCAATCGTAGGAATATGAAAACCAAATTTAATCAACCGTTTAAATTTTAAACACGCAGTACCCCTGTATAGAACAACTACTAAGAACCACACTAGAAAGATGAACTGCTTATCCCCTAAGTGTTTTAAGTGTAACAGGAACAGGCCCTATGATTTTCTGTTTGACCTTTCTGAGGGGAAAAAAACCCAACAAAACAGTTGACCTATTGAAGTTGTTTGGACAATTCAGGAAGTTTAAATGGACATGTATGGTTGTAGAGAAAATTTCAGAAGAGATTTAAGTTGAATGAACTTGTCTTAGTCAGATTCCCCAGTCTTAGGTTCTCTGAGGGAGCATAACGAGTTCTACAATATTATGAAAATGTACCTTGGTAATCAAATAAAAATACTTACAAGTGACTCAATACCAATTTACAATTTTAAAGATTTCAGAACAGAGGAAGGAAGGGATAAAAACAAAACCAAAAAAATACCTGTGGTTTTCTTCATTATGCTGTAAAATACTCCACCCTGCTGAAACAAATGAGGAAAGCCCTTTGCATAAGACCAAACATCTTCTCCTGTAAAAATCAAACATAATAATTAAACAGTCATATTTTAACATTATAGACAATAGCTGAAAATGTAACTCCCTGAATTAAAAGCTGAATCCTCACTCACTGCTATGCAATTAAGCATTTAAATTTCCATTGCAAATGTACAGAACAGCAGCCCAAGACACTAAGAAACTTTCAGAAAACATACCATGGTCTGCAGTCAAATATCCTACATGTTCTTGTTCAGAAGTTCCCAAATATGATTTGATCTGAGCTGCAGCTCCTGGTTCTTTGCCAGGCCCTACACAGGCCCTCCATTCCCCTCCTACCCATGCTTTCAACATAAAACTAGCAAATGACTAACACACTTCCAAAATTCAAGCACAAACCCTTGCACAGTAAGGGCCCTGCACATATAAGGGCCGGTAGTGACAGGACAAGGGGTAACCGTGTTAAATTGAAAGTGGGGAGGTGTAGATTAGATATCAGGAGGAAGCTCTTCAGGGAGCGGGTGGTGAGGCGCTGGAACAGGTTGCCCAGAGAAGCTGTGGATGCCCCGTCCCTGGAAGTGTTCAAGGCCAGGCTGGATGAGGCTTTGAGCAACCTGGTCTAGTGGAAGGTGTCCCTGCCCATGGCAGGGGGGTTGGAACTAGATGGGCTTTAAGGTCCCTTCCAACCCAAACCATTCTATGATTCTATGACTAAACCCTCAATTCTATATCCCTACACCTGAAAAAATCAGATCTCAGTTTCACAGCTGCCACAGCACAGACTTACGCTGTAGCTGCAGTGTAAAGCTACACGCAGGCAACTGCATGGACGCAGTGTCCGTACCTTGCTTTTCTTCTTCAGAGTTAGAAACAAAATACCAACCGTGAGGCCCCAGCAGTCCTATCCAACTGGCATTTTTCAAAGATGCCAAAAATGGCATTGAAATGTGACAACATTAAATGTCACTGAGATTAAAAATCCAAACCCTACACCATGTAAGGAACTGATCATAAAGAACAGAAAAAATGGGTTACAATGACAGAATATCATGACCTAACACCACCTGCTTAATCAGTTCAGATCTGCTTTTTACCTACACCCTTTGCTCATTTCGCTAACCACTTACCTGCTTCAGAGAAGTGACATGTGACCTTGCTGTCAAAGTAGTGTGAACAAAAATTACTGCTAAATTCCATTCTGCCAATGCCAAAACAACTACTGTGCATATATGCTTTCAGAAAAAAATTGCTTTTCCCACTTCAAACCAGAGGGATTCTGTGGCTCACCTCTCCACTTCAGGTGTTATTCAAGTCCCCATTCTCTCTAAAAAGGCACACAGCACGTCTGCTTTGCCATCAAAAATTTTAAAGGCAGGAAACCTACGTAACTTGCTGAATTTCACATGCGTTCCCTTGAACCATAAATGCTTTGGTTCATTGCATTCATCTGCACATCAAGCTCACAGATTTGGCCTTCACTTCCTAGCAAGGGCATCCAGGTAACAAACCAACTAGAATCATAGAATGCTTTGGGTTGGAAGGGCCCTTAAAGACCATCTAGTTCCACCCCCCCTGCCATGGGCAGGGACACCTTCCACTAGACCAGGTTGCTCAAAGCCTCATCCAGCCTGGCCTTGAACACTTCCAGGGATGGGGCATCCACAGCTTCTCTGGGCAACCTGTTCCAGTGCCTCACCACCCTCTCCCTGAAGAGCTTCTTCCTGATATCTAATCTAAACCTTCCTGCTTTCAATTTAAACCCATTACCCCTTTTCCTGTCACTACAGGCCCTTGTAAAAAGTCCCCCCCAGCTTCCTTGTAGCCCCTTCAGGTACTGGAAGGCTGCTGTAAGGTCTCCCTCCCTTTCTACTACTCTTCCTTCTTATTTTCCATGATCTACTGAAGAAGGAGGTCGTGTGTTTTGACTTTAACATGACAACTCCTGACTTGCTAATAAATATGAAGCTCCTCTCCAGCTCTCACTGACTCCACTGAAGCAAACAAATTTAAAAAATAGTAATTTTAAAAAAATATAAAGGGAGCATTGTCTTTTCCACCCCCACTATTGAAGAGGAAAAACTGTGGCAAACAGCTGCGTGAAGGGAGGACAATCACTACCAACACTCCCTCTAATGGTTTTGCTATTTCAAAAGGGGTTCACTGCTACCCTGCATCCTTATTCCCGTTTACAGATCAAAATGCGCATCCCCACACTCACTGGCTCCAGAACATCGCTGCTGTGGCTCTTCATTTGCCCCCAAGCCTTTCTGATGGTTTAAAGGCTGCCCACAGGAATCAAAATAACCACTGCACTGATAAGTAAGAGCACAGTCTACCAAAGCCTGGGGAGGCCACGGCCAGCAGCCACCCAGTGCCCGACTCCAGGTGAAGGGTTCCTATGCTGCTGTACCTACCAAACCCATTCTTATTTGAAGGGCTCCCTTGCCTCCCACGAGACAAGCACCAGACTTTTAGAAGCAGCTCAGTTTTACACATTGCTTGCATTCTCCAAGGAAAGATGCCCTGTTTGCTCTGGGCATGACTTTTCAAGCCTTGCGCCAGCGAAGCATCACTGTTCAGATAGCCTTTTATGCAACACTAACAGGGACTGCGTGCAGGAAAGTATGGACAGCAGGGCTCACAGAACAAAAGCATCAGCCACCGAAAGGAACACAAACTAACCATGCTGTTTGGATAGAGACCTCTGATCATCAAAGAAACCCCACCATCACAACCGGAGTTTCCCAGCTCTGAGAAACTACTGTGGGTGATTCAACTAAACTACATCTGAGCTGTGCACGTTTTTGTTGCTACCTGGATTTACTGTTTTGGTTTTGTTTACCATGGCAGTAAGATGTTTATAGGTTACAAGTTAATTTGGGCATCATTTAGTTAGACTAAAAACTCCCTCGTAACACTACATTTATCAAAGTCATGATGTTCTCCCACTCCAGCAGACCAAACCTCAGCCCCACCACATTAAGGTATGGCAACAAATGAAGCCTGTCCTACCCACAGGCATGCCTCATGCACTGCCGAAAAGAAGCAGGGGCAGACTAACCTACACCAGTGGAAGCCCAAGACCATCACTTCACACAGCAGAGAGGACACACAGAAGTGCAAAACAAATCAAAAGCTCGGTTGACAAACAGGGTTACAGGGAACTACAGCTGATATGAAAACAAGCTGTTTACTCCCAAGCAAACCTTGGTATCAATTAATACATTTCATTTAAACCTGGCTATTTTGATTTCTTGTGCACTGAGCAATTCATCAACGCAAAACAAACCCATCAAAGTAGATTGACACTTGGCTTGCATGTATCCAGAGTGCTTCTGTGTGTCTGTAATTAAATCTGTTTAAAAATATGGTTTTACTACATTAATGTAAAATTACAATTCCTTTAGTCACTTCCTTATAGAATGCTATGTTTTGAGCTAAGCAAAAAAAGAGGAGAAAGGGTAACATATCATGCATGATTTTTTATAAAGTGGTCCAGAAATTACAGTATCTAATTTCCCAGGAATTATTGTTAAATTATACATGGAAAAATTAAAGAACACAGTCTAAAATTATAATAAGTTAACCAGCTGAGACCAGAAAAGCAAAATTCTAGTAACGAAGAGGCATCAACTCAGCCTGCAGGAGGCCCTGTATGAAAAACAAAAAGCTTTTAAGCATCCAGAATGAATACTGTAGATGTTTGAAGACACACTTTCACTACAGGCACTGGGGAAAAAAAGAAAATTGTGTCTGGCCCAGCGAGCTATTTCAACCGCACCTCCCCTCTACGCATTCTAATCTAACTGTATTAGATGAATGTTTTTAGGAAAACAAAGTTACAGTGAGAGCATGCAGGATAGGACGACTCTCAGAACTCTGCAGCCCTGTTTTTAGGGGTACAGAAACATCATCGACAAACACTGCAGTTTCTTGTCCCAAAAAGGCTGAATATACCACCTTGAGGAACTGCCATCCCAACACTCTTAAGAAAGTGCAAGGGCTTAGGAAGTTTCATAAAGTTTGTTTCCCTGTTGAAAAATCACAGCTGTAAACAGTCAACTGCCTGGATTTTCTCCAAAAGTGTCTTTAAAGGAAAAGGAAGCCCTGATGAGAAAAGTAATTATATAAAAATAGTGTCTTGTTCCATAGCTGCACCAGTTGTTATAACGGGCTGGTTTATCACTTGCTGCCACTTTTACTGCTATTAGTAATGCAAAATGGATGCAGTCAGAGAAGGGCGGGGTAAAATCTATTCTGACCTGTGCTTCGAAAGCTGAACCTAACAGCAGTGAGAGTCAAACACCGATTCTTGAACACAGGATCAGCTCACAGGTAAGTGCCTGTAAAAAACTGACACACCTTAATGCTTAAGTAACCAAGATGCTTTTAAAGCACGTCAGAGTTTTTTTGTAAGCCAATGACTACACTTTCAGCAGCATTTCCTGAAGACAGGAAAACACTCTTAAGCTTCATCTCCAAATTAAGACAGCTTTTAAACCAAACCTTTTCCTGCACTTTGGAACTGCGATGTCAGCGTGAGGAGGTAGCTAGTGATTCAGCACGCTATCTTGCAAGAGACACCGGCGTAAACAATTGGGCTTGGAAAACAATCAGAGTTCTGCTTGATGAACTTCTGACATACCACTCTGTGATTACGTAATTGTTTCGTTTCTAAAACATCACATGCTTCAGCCACACCAATCCCTCCAGCAAAAGAGAAGGCTCCCACAAAAGAAAAAAACCCCTGTAAACATGACTATTGAACCGGTTCATGGAGTTAAATGCATGATCATTACCATTCTACTTCCTGCCAGCAAGCAGCAAGAACTGTGAAACCTGATTAATTAAGTACACAAAAGGTCCAAGTCTCCCGAGTCCAAAGACGAAAATAAAAACCACAGGCACCTGAGAAAAGTATTTTCACCTTGAATTATTAAGTTAGGCAGATTTACATGACTGACAATTTATAAACATAGGTCTGCGACCCTGTGTCCACCTCTGGGATGCAAATATGTGTTGAGAATGTTTCAGTTTCCCCTCTGCTTGCATGCTTTCCACAGCATTTTCAAAAGACCAGAGCTCCACTTAAACATCAGCAGGTTAGCTAAGCAGACAAGGTTGTGTTGATTTGCCTAAACCAACACAACTCCCTCTGGGGAGAAATGCCAGGACTTCATCCGACTACAAAGGTAAGAAGTTGGTCCTCAAATTTCCACTGACACTCAGCATCCCCTTCTCACCTCTGCTCTGAACGTAGTTCCTGAAACCTGAGGGAGACGTGGGAGGGGAAAAAAAAAAAAAAAGGAGAGCATGTAGCTCACACACATACACATCAAATGTGTGCCTAATGAGAGACAGGAAAAACAGAGACAGCAGAGGAAATGCAACAACTTCTCAACAGCGATTTTTAAAGGAGGACTTTATAGCAAAGAAAGAACGGGTATCTCCTATACCCATTTTTAAAAGGCTTAACAATCAATGATGACAGCATGTTTGATGTTCTAAGAGAGGAATAAAGGAACTAACCTTCTCCATGGTTACAACAAAAGGGGGAAAAAAAAAGCAACTGTACTTTGTGAAAATGTTATCTTCTACTTAAAAATACAACAATTCAAGTATGACTCAAAGGCAGCCTTACCCATGAATGTTGCTAGAAGACAGAGAGAATACATCTCCTTATCGACTTGGTCCTGCAGCTCCTTCGACGAGATTTTACTCGTCACAGCAACATCTTCGTGCTTCACGGCATGGGCCGAATGCGCTGAAGCGGGCTGCCTGCCTTCCTCCTTACCTTTCAGGATTTCTATCGCGATTCTGTCGCCGTGCTGCAAAGGAACGGGCTCGTTCTCCATCCCTTCTTTGGGGGGCAGAAGCTCTTTAGGAGGAAAGCCATAGCGAATACACTGCAGATACGGAGGAATATTAAATTCTCGCGCTATGCTTTCCTTAAGTTCCAAGAAGGTAGTAGTGCACTTCAGGGTAAGCATCGACTGCCTCCCATCGTTCGTGGTTATTCGGATCTTCTTTTCTTTTGTAGATGTTGGCGAATAAGGGGCCTTGGTTGGCGTAGCGGGCGCAGATGACGGCCCTTCACGGCCGGCCCCGGGAGAAGCAGTCCTAGGCTGCCCTTTATGCTCTTGTTTCAATTTTTCGCTTTTCCGTTTCTGCATCAGGGAAGCCTGGTCTGCAATGTTCTGCTGAACAGTTCTTTCAGCTTTGCTCATATTTAACTCCTCCTTGTGCAAAGTTTTTGTCTTCTGGCCAGTCAAAATAATTTTGGTTGGAAGTTGCGACTCTAAGTCGTGGCCCTGCTGTACATCATCAGCTCTTTGGGCATGAGCACCATCAATATTTACAGGGGTGTAATCATCAGGATTCTTTTTGGCAGTTTGATGCAATATTGTGTTGACAACTTTCTGAACAAGAATCTCGCTACCGAACTCACCAGGGAAGTGCTTGGTAACAAGTTTCATGGCGACATCATACACATTGCTGTTCAGAGATGTGTCGCTTTCGTACTGGAACCAGTAGACTGTCTCTCTCACCACTCGTCCACTCCACTCCAGAGTAATAGGAAAAGCTTCAGGGAGATTATCGTATTCTTTACCTTCCCAGTAGTGCTTGAATCCACAGCCACACTTGCCACCTGTAGACCTCGTATTAGTTCTGTCTCCATCCAAATACGAAACGGATCCATCCTCTCTGACGCGACGCACCAAGTTACTGTGACACCAGTTACAAGCACTCAAATTACTCAGGCTATAGTCTGGCACCAGTACATCCTTTGCGGGGTTGTAGGAGCACACCAAACTGTTCAGGGGAAAACTGTAATTTTTGTCAGGCCTTAGCTGGCCGTGGGTACTTTTTGCCAGGTTGTAGAGTTTCCCCCCAGGAGAGAGCCACTCGGGAGGAACATGATGCTCCGAAAGGGCCCCGCAGAGGAGGCACCTGTGAAGGCGGTTGTCCATCACTGCTTTTTTGGCAGCCGCAGTGACTTCTTCAGGCTGCACTCCAATAACACCAGTCCTTCTGTAGAAATACTGGTGCACGTCAGCTACGAGACTGGGATGGATACCGTGTTTACTCATGAACACCTCCTCCATTGCAGCCACGAGCCTCATCAAGTACTTATCTTGCAAACTTCTGTCTCCTCCAATAACACAACCACCGTCCTCCTCTAACTTGATGTACTTTTTGATGAGGTCTTGAGGAACTCCCCAGGCTTTAGGAAGTAGCTTCCTGGGCAGTTTAGGTAAAGCAGCACCTTTTATTCCAACTAGAGGAATATAATGGTTACGTCCTGAGCTACTCCACGCAATGCAGATCGGCTTGTTCAACATGCCATCTTTCCCCGTGCATTTTTCTAGGGGTACCAGACCAGGGAGGAATGTCGCCGAATAATCTCCAGAACTTCGCATTCCACTTAACGAGTCCAACAGGATGATAGGCCGGTGAAGCACGTTGGCCAGGCCAAAGATGTGAATATTCCTAAGGCCCATGGGCACACCTTCTGGAGGAACAAACAAAGGGTCGCATTCATTGATAATGTCCTCCCACTCTGCTGCATCAATAAAGTCATGGAAAAGCGCCTTATAGTGACTCAGATTCTCCTCAAAATGCTTCTTCAGATTCTCTCGCAGCGCATGCCAGAACAGCTCCCGGCCGACAAGCGCCCGCGAGACCGCGTGGACGAGGCAGTGGCCATCCCCATCCACGTGGACAGGAATGAGGCACTCCTGGCTGTTGTTGGCCTTCTTAATGTCTTCCAGGGTGTCGTGCAGGTAGATGAGGCTGCCGGAGCGGTCCTTTCCGTAGCCGATGGTTTCAACGTGCTCCGGCTCGATGAGGAAGGCGCGGTCACCCAAGAGGGAGCAGTCAAAGATGTCTCCCTGGTTCATCTCCGTCAGGAGCTTGGCTTTGCCCGTTTGCTTATCCATCCCGTAGCGGGCCAGGATGGGGGCCAGGAGCTTGCAGTGGTAGTTGGAGAGCCCCAGGACTTTGACGAGCTCGATGTTCCTGCGGGGCGGGCCGGCGCCGCTGACGCCCAGCAGCGCGTTCCGCAGCAGGTTGTGCAGCACCAGGTCGGGGTCCG